TTATGTGATTCACATACACACCAGAGAATGCAGAAAATGAAGTCTCTGAAGTTGAAATATGTTTGGGGGAGATAACATGTGCCCCCCAGCTGGAACCTCATGCCACCCTTTCGCACCCCGTATAACTTTCTACTGCCCCTGCTTCAGGGACGTGTGGCTCGGAACAACAGATTCATATTCATAATTTCCCCTTGAATTAGCCCAGATGTGGTAAGAGCGACTATGGATAAATCCGCGCGTAAAACCAAAACACACACACGCAGCGATATGACACCTACTTGGAGCACGGTCTTGATGGTGACGGGGGACACGATAGAGGTGCATATATTCTCTCCTTTACGCATCACCTGGCCCATGACGAAGATCATCGGCGTGGCGAGCGCGAAGGACGCGAGCCACATGGCACTAATGAGCTTCTTGGTGCGGCTGCGGGACATAATGCTCTTGGCTTTGAACGGGTGGCAGATGGCCATATAGCGCTCCACGCTCAGGCTGGTGATGTTGAGCGCAGTGGCGTAGGAGCAGCTGTTCCGCAGGAAGTAATAACCCCGGCACACCGCGTCCCCGAACACCCACGGGTGGTGGAACCAGATGAAGTTGTAGAGCTCGATAGGCATGGAGAGGACCAGGATGAGCAGGTCGGAGACGGCGAGGCTGGCCAGGTGGTAGTGCACGGTGCTCTGGAGGTTCTGCAGGGTCTTTCTGCTGAGCAGGGTGTAGAGAGTGATGGAGTTCCCCAGAGAGCCCACAGCGAACAGAGCAGCGTATATGACAGTGACTATCACCCTGGAGTAAACATCGGTATTCACTTCCAAGTCTTCCTCCTCCGTGTTGGAAGCGGCGGTGCTGATTCCATAGGGGCTGTTTCCAAACAAGGAGTTATTCCCAAAGAGTCGCTGCTCCAGGGCGACAAAGTCGCGCCCTGCCAGCGTGCCGTTTAAATCCATTATCCCTCTGTGCGTGAGAACATGGAAACAGAGAGTATGAGTGTTAAAAGTGAGTGGAAATATGTTGCTGGTGCACCAAGTGCGGAGAGGTTCAGTGTGGGGAAACTTGGAGGACAGCGGTTTCTATATCCGGCACCACGGGAGGCGCGCTCCTATTGGATCCGCTGCAATGACGCACACTCATTCATAAAGGAGCCCGTTCAGATTCACCTAAGAACACTAAAGAAAGCAAAAATCACACTTCCTGAGGGACATTTTTTTTCACTCTCTGTTTGCCTGTCAAGGCTTCTCTCTCTCCTGCTCTCTCACTCGCACAAGAAGTAATGTTATAGGCACAGATGGAAGAAGTATCCAGATGCTTTACTTGAGTAAACATACCTGATACATTAATGTCAAAATACTTCATTACAAGCAAAAGTCATACAATCAAAATCGTACTTAAGTAAGTCCAAAGGTGTTATCAGCAAAATGTACTTAAAGTATAAAAAGTCAAAGTTATCATTGTGCAGAAATATTGCCTTTATGTGTGTGTATAATTATATTCTTATGTGACACTACTTGCATCAAGTACCGTTTTTCTATTAAAGACAAACCCAGTTTGGATTTAATTTTTGTAAAATATTATTGTGACTTAAAAGAGTTATTCCACTAGGATCATTTTTAGAGATGCATTTGGAGTGTCACAGTGCAATGGAGTGGAGTACAAATACATTATTTCCCTTTTCAATGTAGTGGGCGTAGCTGGAAATTCTGGGCCCCATGAAAGAATCTATTTGTGGGGCCCCAATCCATGCGAGTGCGCGTTAGCGCGCACGCTAAAAAAAATGTGGCCATTTATTTATTGATGAAAACGCATAATATGGTTTTTACCTATACATTCGGATCAGCAGTTCAGCACCTGAACTGCCTAGTAAAGGATGTCGCATTGCGTTCATCTTCAATGAATGGACCAATGCAATAGTCTACCAAAGAACCTTGAGTCGCACTAGCTAGGCATATTTTCCCCTATTCTTGTGACAATGTTTTCTGATACTCAACATACAAAAGCTGTTACTTGTCCTGTCTCTCTGTAATCCCATCTCCAACACAAATAGTCTACTCAAGCACACTATTAGGTTGACAGACACTTACGTTTTGATGTGCTCTGTAGTATACAATCGTTTCCTGCTTGGATATACCTTTTACGAAGCAGATTTTGAACTGTCGCGGGCAGAGCACTAGCTTTTTTGCTGTAGCGGCCGGGTTGCTGCCTTTCTCAGCAGAGTGCTAAAGCCCTACCTGTTACACGCGCAAGTAATTCGAGGAGGCGC